TTAAATTCTTACAAAGAAAATTCTTGTATGACAAAGAATTTTGTGCAACCGTAATACAAACCCAAATTTTCTTTGTAATACAAAGAAAAATCATTGTAATACAAAGAAAATGTTTGTGTTATACAAGGAAATTTCTTGTAATACAAAGAAATTTCTTGTAATACAAGGAAATTTCCTGTATTTTACGGTTGCACAGAATTCTTTGCATTATACGAACAAATTCTTTGTAAAAGATTTAGAGTGTGCGAACACACCTTTGAACGCACACAGGTGGGAAGCCTTGTGAGTTTGTGAGTGTAGTGTGTTTCGTAGAAGTTTTCTGAAAGTGACCATCTCCGAACACATCGTGTTAACTGCAAAACGAGACCTTGATGAAGAAAACCGGGGTGTAACAGTTTTCTGAGTTAGCCTATCCCGCCCGTCAGCCAATATATCACGGCATAAAATGGTATGGAAACCCGCAGCACTGCGATCATAGAGTTGTTCGCTCTGACCGAGGCATTGACCACCTGGTACCTGGTAGTAGGAATGTGTGCATCGCAGAAAGTTCGGTTGATCACCAGAAAGCTGGGTGGCTGTACAAACATTCTAGAAATTTCCTTTATTTAAATGTATTTACTACTGGAAATATTGTTATAACTGTTTATCAGTTCAGTGGCAATAAACAAATCAAATCAAATCTGTTTTGGGTTTACTCAACAAAGGGGTGGCGGTGGGGGGCGGCGCCTCGAGCACAGTGTCGATTGTTGGCGGTATTGGAGGGATTGGAGGTAGTGTGGTACTCCGGTGGTACTACATTCCAACCGGTGGTCGTGGTCGCGGCGACATGAAGCTTTGGCCCACCGCCGTGTGTTAGAAACTGTCAGACGAATGCGTTTGAACTCGTTGTAATTGCGTGGAGTTGGGCCGCTTATCTCCGTAAAGCGCGTCATGTTTCATGGAAGAATAATCGCTGTCTTTCGATGGGGCTTGCTGAAAAAGCTTGCTCGCTTCTTCGTAAGGCACGTGTGAGACCGTGCGTCACAGCGGCGCGCTGCACACTTTTTCCTCCACCGGGGGCTTTATGGGTGGACCTATCTTCATAACAAATTAATCTTTGACGTTTTTCATTCAATGTTTCAAAACTTTTGCGTTGTCAAGTCGCGCTCTCTCAAAGTCGAAATGAGGCCAGTTTCCCTGGCAAACGTGCGTGTGAGCGCTTTGTCTCGTGTTGTTTGTCACAAGGCAGAGGCTGACCCTCTCCGGCGGCGGCTCAGATCCCCGACGGATACCAGGCCGACCACACCCGCCTGTAGCACTGCGTCCCCGGTGCAGGCGCCGGTAATTGCTCGCATTATTGCTCTCGACTAAGACAATTTTTTTTGGAAGGAAAATGACCGACCGCGAGTTACCCTAGTACTTTCCAGCTATTATATACCCCAAGTAGCTAACAATTATGTTTTACCTTTAAATGCACTTGTTGATGTAAGAAGATGTATGTACTTTTTTTATTTTTGTTTTTCTATGTAATTGCTGTAATGATTCTGCGCACTCTTCTCCTATTGCTGCCTTAACTTTGTACCCGTTTGCAGACTGTTAACCTGTACTTTGTCGTTTAATAAATACAATACAATACAATATATTGTCATTTTTGTTTTGAAAAACCATGTATGTTTTCTTCGCACTGTGCAATACGATAAACAGTCCACAAGCTCGTTCGGCATTTCGTTGCGATAACTTGGATGCCGAGAGCGGAAGAATGAAGTCGGAATTAAAATTGCCCCGCGCGTGTTTTGTTGCGCTATGGTCGCATAATTGGCGTTCCGTCTGCGATTGCGTCCCCTTCTTCCTATTGATCGGCTGAGGCCGCTCCCGCTCTCCTTGGCCCGGTGGTGTGCGGACGGGGCGTGGAAAAAAAATGTGAAAACTCACCGTCATCAGAGGGCTGTGTGTGTGTGTGTGTGTGTGTGTGCTCGCGCGCACGCTGCGTTGTCAAACTGTCGTCTCTGCGTGTACCCGCTAATTTCTCATTAACTGGGGAGAAATGATTGTGTAGTGGCAAGGATGAGGGGAGGCTATTTTATTGCTGTTTATGGGGGATCTGTTCAATTTTTATTTATTTCTTTTATTTCTTTTTAAAATTATTTTGTGTGCATTCCGCGGTCCGTCGCGGTACTCTCGCGGTATGCATGCTGGCGCGCGGCGCGGCGACCCCGCAGGCATGTGTGTGGCTGCAGCGCCGCCGCGTGGTTCGGCCGCCGAGATGGTCGGTTGCCCAAGCCCATTTTTGTGCCGTGCCGTGAGTGACGCGCCGAGCCGTATTTGGGGGGGCCTGGCTATTAAAACCAAGGCTTATAGACACCTCTCTGAGAGGTGCGCGCGGTATACTCGCCGGCGGGCAGGCGGGGACGGGGGACGCCCCCTGCTGTGCAGCAGCGGGTAGTTTTTTTTTTCGGGTCGTTGTGTGTATGGATTGGCGAGCGCACCATTGCGTTAATAGTAGTTGTTTGGAGCTGAACTTTCAGCCGGTTTGGTTGAGCATTTAGTCGCGGGGTGGTTGGTGGTACTGGGGGCGGGTGGGGCGGCCGGGTCACCGCGCGGGGCTTCTGCGCAGCGCAGCACTGTGCAGCTTATGGGCCCCTCGGCTGCCGGGCGGGGCGGCGCCGACGCTCGCCGTGGACTGCTGGGCGCCGCGCGAAGGCTCCCTGCTCCCTCCTCGCGACGCCGGGGTATACGGCCGGCCGTCGGCCCCGAAAGGGGTACAAGGGCTTCCCTTCTACCTTGTCTGCTCGACCGCTTCCTTGACATGCCGGGGGTGAAATCGCATTCATCCGGAGACAGAGAGAGAGCGATGTATGTCGTTATAAGTTTTCTGACAGTGCCAATCTTCTAACACATATTCGAACGCACACAGGAGAGAAGCCTTTTGAGTGCAATGTGTGCGATCAAAAGTTTTCTTCAGGTACCAATCTGCGAACACATCTTCGGACGCACACAGGAGAAAAGCCTTTTGAGTGTAGTGTGTGCCATCGGCATTTTTCTGAAAATGGCAGTCTGCGAACTCATTTTCGAA